AAAAGACAGACAAGGCATTAAAGAAAAAAGTCATATTGCAGTCTTTTCTGTTTTCATTTAAACTCTTCAAAATAAGAAATTGAATTTTGATTTTAAGTTTTTATTTTTTATTTTCAAAAATTGAAAATTGAAATGCTAACACTGATTCAATTTTCAATTTACAAATGATAGTGTTCATAACCATCTGAAAAATATTTCTAAGTTTCCATTGCCCAATCAGACTATTATACAGATCAGATAACAAAATTAAAAATCCATTTTTTCGTGTCCTTTTTTTCATCAGATTAATAAAAAAATTGACTGCACCCTTTTATGTTTAATTTTTTTAATACCAAATTTTATGGGGGACAAGGGGGGCATGGGTCAGTGAATTTTGTGGCCAATCAATATTTAATCTAATTTGAAGATTAAATTTTTGAAACAAACTATTTTTAATCACACAATATAATTAGATAATGTTTTTATTACTCAATATTCAATATCTAATTTTTTCAATATCAGTTATTTAAATATCATTTTTGATATCTAATATCCAATAATTCAATATTGATAATAATAATCATAAACCTACTGACTATAATTGATAACAGGCTGTCCCACCCACATAACATTTATAGCCAAAAATATTCAGGAAGTGACAAAATCATTACAGAAATGAAGCAAAAATTCAAATGATCATTCATCGTTAATCACATAATGAAATGGCGATACATGATAGTAACTAAGTTCATTGCTAACATGGTAATAAGCATAATTATATAGGTAAGATTATTAACTGATGAAAATGATAATGATGACAAAAACTGTCATCATCATATTGTTAATGTTAAAGATACTATGCCTATAGTAAAAAGAGGAGGAGTTGGTACATGTGAAGACTATCTTGTCATGGTGACATTGTAGCAATAAAGTCCTCGGGCTCAGTAACATTACAGGTGTCAGGTAGTGCTCTCTCAGACCAACACAATCCTGGAGGAAGGCCTATACTTTTCGTGACGTCCCTTCTGAGATATTTCATCTCCTCCAACAATTCCTCTAACTTTGTCATAAGCTTTTCCTTCATTCGGGGGTTTTCCTCATCACTAGATGACAGTTCTACCACATCCCGCTTCCTTTTATCTGATCTCCCATTTCCCTTTCCTCCAAATCTGAACAAATCATCTTTAGTAACAGCAAAGATCTTACGGCTACCAAGACACCAGAAGCTTAAACCTATTAAAGAATAGCATTTTTTGTAAATAATTATTACCACATGATAATTTTTTGGTCTTGTTTGACAAAATTATTTTATTATGATTAACACAAAATTTAATAATCTCATCAAATTTATGACTGACCCCGAGTCCCTGCAGAATCTTGTATCCTTAGGCCATCAGATGTGATCAGTACATATTCAGTGCCCCAGCTATCTTGCATGATCTCTGTTACATGGAGCACGTTAGCAGTAGACTCTTTCACTGGAACAAATATCTGTTCTGTTGTAGGAAGAAACTTATTAGGACCTTTTCCGGTACTTTTAACAAAATGAGCCTGAACTATTTTCACATTTGCAGTTCCTCCATCAATACTTTTTTTACTGAACACTGGTCGGCTGGGGCAAAGCATAGATCTCGTAGTGCCAGACAATATGGGTGTGGAAAATCCAGATCCACTTGGCTGAGATGATACGACACCAACACCGTCACTCGGAGTCCCCATCGCAATCAAACATTCCACATCACTGGGTACATCAAATGACGTTTTACTAAGGTTGGGGAAAAAGACCCTAGCTCCTCTCTGCTCTCTTAGCCAAACCGTATTCATAGAAATCTATAGTTAGCAATAATTAGAGCTAGGTACCGTATTATGATACAAACTTACTGAAAACAAACTACATACAGCTTGCGGAGTTAACTGGGTCAATCTAATCTCTATTGGCTCCTCAGCCTCCTCTCCTTCCCTTACGAGTTTCACAGACATAATGACTCCTGTTGTTCTCTTATACATGCACGTGGACGCTGAGAGGAGGTCCTGGAGGTGGGAGGAGAACTATAATGGCGCTTGTTTATATTTTTAACCATAAGTAACCATTATGAATAAAATGAAACATCATGTCAACAACTTTTAAGTTTGAGTCAACCTATAGGTTAAATCGATGAAATACTTTAAGCCATCTTGAAATGTATGATCGCTGCCACTAATTAATTGAAAATATATCTCATCAAAAGAAGGATATTGTTTCTTGAAGGCAGTCTCACGCAATAGTTGTTTTTCTGGGTAAATTGCAAGTGGGTCACTGCCAAAGTTGCTTTCTGCTGTGATTTGGCCACCACTTTGTCGATACTGGAATACAGCTTGTGCTGATGTGGGCAGAAAGGAAGACTGAAGTGGATGTATACAGCAACTCTGTAGCATACGCTGATTAGGTGTGCCTCTATTACCTGAGCTGATGCTACCTATTATTATAAATGTTATCACATGACAAATGTAAGTAAGTGCTAACTTGGTAAGGGATGATTATTCCACGCTTGAATAAATAAATCCAATCCAACATTGCAAATATGAATAGAGTACCATGAGACACAAAACCGAATCATTGGATGATCTAATTGTAATGAGCCATTTTCAACCATGTTTAGCAAAGACCTCTTGACTGGATAATTAACACGCGAGTTTACATCCACCCACATTCGTTCGACAACATGATTCTAAAAATAATAATAAATTATTATAAAGAATGAAAATTATTATACCTGCTTAGATGTTGTTTGGACATAAGGACGTTTTGTGGTATCATATCGATGGTTACTTAATTGTGATTGAACCTGAAGTAAGAGTGCCCATTCTGATCCACGATCAACTCTGACTTGAGACCACAAGCCATGCTCTAAAACTAAGGGCCTATACAAAGAAGTTATAATTTTCTTACATAATCGTAATAATTAACCTGAAAAAATGTTCATATACTGCAACAGGATTTTTAATAGGCATTGTACAGAATCCAACAATTTTCTTACTAAAACCATCAACTCCTATGACATGTGTAACACCGAACATCGTCAATTTTTCATTCTGATCAATGTGAATTTTTTCGCCATAATAATATGCCACATATGGAGTTGGATTCATAAGTCTCTGTGTTGAATGCAATCTGGCAGCATGATTGCTAGGGTTTACTCGCTTCAAAGAACTTGCCACTCGATTTTCCCCTACTCTATACCCTTGTGAGGCTAGGAGTCCAGTCATAGTTTTCCGCCCATATTGATTACCAACCTATTAACAATTAAATTTCAGCAACAAGAAATTATGGGTCACCTTATGAATGTTTCTCTTAATAAGGTCATCAAGTTCAATATCGTTAAGCCTGGATATTTTTGTTATACCAGCTTTTACACAAAAACGCCGGACATTTCTGGAACTAAAACCTCTTTGTGCAGGAAAAAATCTATTCAATTCTTCGCTGACTGCTTGATAAGAATAGCGATGAGTTTCAATCCTGGACCTCACAAAATCCTCCAATTCATCCAGCGCCATTTTTATCTAGATAGTTCTCCTCCTCCGATCGATAGGCAGTATAGATCTAGCTCCACCTCTCAGCGTCCACGTGCATGCATAAGAGAACAGCAGGAGTCATTATGTCTGTGAAACTCGTAAGGGAAGGAGAGGAGGCTGAGGAGCCAATAGAGATTAGATTGACCCAGTTAACTCCGCAAGCTGTATGTAGTTTGTTTTCAGTAAGTTTGTATCATAATACGGTACCTAGCTCTAATTATTGCCAACTATAGATTTCTATGGATACGGTTTGGCTAAGAGAGCAGAGAGGAGCTAGGGCCTTTTTCCCCAACCTTAGTAAAACGTCATTTGATGTACCCAGTGATGTGGAATGTTTGATTGCGATGGGGACTCCGAGTGACGGTGTTGGTGTCGTATCATCTCAGCCAAGTGGATCTGGATTTTCCACACCCATATTGTCTGGCACTACGAGATCTATGCTTTGCCCCAGCCGACCAGTGTTCAGTAAAAAAAGTATTGATGGAGGAACTGCAAATGTGAAAATAGTTCAGGCTCATTTTGTTAAAAGTACCGGAAAAGGTCCTAATAAGTTTCTTCCTACAACAGAACAGATATTTGTTCCAGTGAAAGAGTCTACTGCTAACGTGCTCCATGTAACAGAGATCATGCAAGATAGCTGGGGCACTGAATATGTACTGATCACATCTGATGGCCTAAGGATACAAGATTCTGCAGGGACTCGGGGTCAGTCATAAATTTGATGAGATTATTAAATTTTGTGTTAATCATAATAAAATAATTTTGTCAAACAAGACCAAAAAATTATCATGTGGTAATAATTATTTACAAAAATGCTATTCTTTAATAGGTTTAAGCTTCTGGCGTGTTGGTAGCCGTAAGATCTTTGCTGTTACTAAAGATGATTTGTTCAGATTTGGAGGAAAGGGAAAGGGAAGATCAGATAAAAGGAAGCGGGATGTGGTAGAACTTTCATCTAGTGATGAGGAAAACCCCCGAATGAAGGAAAAGCTTATGACAAAGTTAGAGGAATTGTTGGAGGAGATGAAGCATCTTAGAAGTGATGTAAATAACGTTATGAAACTGACAAAAGGTATGAACCTTCCACCTGGTTTATACTCGAAGCTACAGGAAACATTTAGCTGCAGTGTGTGCCATGCTTCACCTTATAAGGTGCCTGTAATATTCTCAAGGTGCTGCAGAAACATAATTGGCTGCTCTGAATGCGTTGATAGATGGTTCAAAGACAACTCTACTTGTCCATTGTGCCGTTCTGAGAGAGCACTACCTGACACCTGTATTGTTAATGGGCTAGAGGATTTTATTGCTACAATATCACCATTAATGAAAGGACAAGATAGCCCTACTCATGTACCAACTCCTCCTCCTCTTTCTACTAGGCGTAGCATTTTTGATATGGACGATGATGACGGCTTTTTGTCGTCATAACTGCACTCCTGAGACTGCTGCTATACTTATCACTATACTTATACTTATGCTTATCACGACATTATCAATAACCTTAGCATCATGTATTAACCAATGATTTTATACTTTTGCTATCTAGCATACAATTATGATTATCATAACCTGAATCATAATATTGATTATTACAATTTTGCTTCATTTTCTAATCAATTTTTCCTGTGACCATAACAATAATTTTTTTATGTGGGTGGGACTGCCTGATACAATAGTCAAGTATATATGTAGATTTATGATGTAATGGAATTTTTAAAAATTTGACATTAAAAGTGATTTAATATTATTATTAATATTGAATATTGGATATTAGATATTAAAAATAATGTTTAAATAACTCATAATTTTTAAAATTAGATATTGAAAATTGAGTATTAAAACATTATCTAATTATATTGTGTGATTGAAAAATAGTTTGTTTCAAAAATTTAATCTTCAAATTAGATTAAACATTGATTGGCCACAAAATTCACTGACCCACTATGCAGTTGGGTTGTCATTCTGTCATTTTTATTCCTGCAGGAATAGAAACCAAAGAAACAATGACAATAATTGTACAATTTAGTGATATACTTTGTGTATGGTTGCATTATTATTGCTATTACACATGTATCCTATATACATTAGATATGTGACTTTGTGAAACTTTTAAAAAATACTAGATCTGATATCGTAAGTGTGGCATCATATAATTGCTACAGCCCAGTTATTATTCAAGTTATTATAAGTTACCAGGCATTGGGCATTTGAGAGTTTAACACCAGATTAAAATCAGTAGACAAAAAGAGGTAGGATGCTGAGGTTATGAGAGCATAGGAAAGTATGACATGTGCTTGAGTATAAGAAATTTTATACCATATTGCTGAATTTATTCATGACCTCAAATCAGTTTCATTTTCATTAAAATTACTATTTGCGTGTGGTTTACAAAAGTTCTTGTAATCTTTATTTTGATGTTATTAAATTTAGTGGAATGAATAATTATTTTAAAAATTAGTTCTAAATTACTTCTTTATACTTATATAGCTGGTAAGAAATGAAAATCAGGATCAAGATGCATATGGCAATATAAATAATAACAATAGATTTCATGTGAGGGAGAGCTTGTCAACAGAATCCCCAAAACTATATTTTGGATCTAAATAGATCATTTGCTATAGAATTTTTAGAACGGTTATGTCATACCACATCTGTGTCTATTACAATCAAATGATAACAAAACAATAATATAACTGTTCACAAGCAATCAGATATGGTTATAGATCTATAGATCAGTAGTTACAAAATTAATAATGCAATAAAGCTATTATGCTTGTACATTGTTATAGAGAGTATATACTACCAAATAAATTCAGTCTTACAAGAAATAGTAGAGCTCAAAAACTTGAAATTTCTTTAGGCTAGCTTATTTTACAATTCTTCCAAAAATCAGTGTAGATCTATTATGTTTTAGTCACAACATACTATAAATATAGCTGATATTTTTGGAGGAGTAAATTTTAGCAAATTGGCAAATTGCTAAATTTTATTGATAGGCTTTAATTTTGTTAACTTGAGTTCATGTATCTAACATTGTAGAATGCACATAATTTGCTAAGTTTTTCTAAAATCTCTAAATCTCTAAAATCTCTAAAATCAACAGTGGTATATACTTAGCACTTTTTGGCCTGTAGACGT